ATAGTTTCTTTTGATAACACGGCAACGGTGGCGTAGAGCCGAGGAGCCGGCTCTGGTCGGTGTCCCATTATCGTTCGCCGGTTCAATGAAATCTTTAAAACGACCGACCGCTTCTTTATACACATATTTTCGCCTGTATCAGTTGTTTGCTCGCCGCTGTTTACGCCGTCACCGTTCCACAATTACTTTCGCGCGTTCCACGCGTATTTCTCTGTCCCCCCTCGCCCCCCTCCTCTGCCCCGCCGCCGAATCCGCAGCGGTTCAACCCTGTAGCCTTTTTTTCCCCCTCGTTTTCTGAACGGGCCTCTCGACACCTTGCTCGCACGAAATCGTCCGAACGGAAATAACAGCCGTGTCGCTCGCTCGCTCGTTCGCTCGCGTGTTTTCTGTTTCGTAAACAGCGAACAAAAGCGATACACGAGCCGCGCCGTCGAACCGTGTCGGGCTGAACGTAAACTCATTAACCGAACGTCGGCTGTTTTTCTTCTTAGAAAATTGTGTTTTTTTTTTTCTCCGCCGGCGGCGTTTCGCTATTATAAAGTAATCAGCCGCGTCAGCCGGCCGAGCTATTTATACGTTCGACAACCGCGGAACGCGCGCGTTCCGCAGGCCCGGACTTTTCTACGTGCATGCATCCGCGCGACCATCAGAAACGGTCTCGTTCGGAATAGAGGAACTGTTTACGCGACGGCCACAGCTGGCCGGAGAGTGATCATTTCGAGCGGGCCGCAACAGAATCGTTTCCTTTGCGGAGCCCGGTTTTCGAGAATGTCGAAGTTCGCTGGTATATTTGGCACGGCCCCGTTCGTTCCGGGTATTCCTCTTCGCGTTAATGATTATTAATAGAGACAGAGAGATCTAGCGGCCTTTGTCTTGCGCGGTATAATTTAGCGTGAATTGATGGGTCGAACCGGAAAGCCCGATAGTAAACACCTAATAACGTTCTTTGCCGCGGTAGACGCGCGGACGAACGCGCGCAGACGCGAGCATCTCTCGGCCATAAGTGTACCGGAAACTGCAGATTCTCTATGCTAACATTTCTTTCGCTGCTCGTGCGGAAAGCAGCTTAACTGGACGATCCTTCGGTCCCGAAGGCAGAAATAATTAATCGATCCTACCAGGCTGCTCGTGCAACGAGAATCGTCGGATTTTTCATGGAATACGGTAATGTCTCCCTAATTGTCGCTCGGATTGTCCACAAAAATGGACAATTAAAGCGCATCTCCATTAGGCGCAAGACACAGGACCTGCAGAAATATTTATTCCTTTCTTCATTAATTTCAGCGAGTCGCAAATAATGCAGTAACGTCTTTCAATTCTGTAAACGTGTTCACTGTATTCGGATTGATTTGCTAATTCTTGTCATAATTGTGTAAAATCCGCAGTCTAGTAACAACAAAAATGCGAACGGTCTTTCCATCGTTCTACGGCAACGCGCGTTCCTGCGTTAGCTATAGCAATCGTTTCCAAGGTTACGACATTTTATGTTCGATTCGATTACTTATTACTTCGCGAGCGAATACGTTGTTGCAGTTGCCGATAGGTGATCCCGAGAACGTTCCGACGGTCGATCCGAACGCGACAAGATCGCAGAAGTACACTCGAAAACGAGCGGCGGATCGGCAGAACTGCGGGAGAAGTCGCGAGTCCTCGTCCGCGGGTCAATCGTCGATGTATAAAACACCGGATCGAGTTGAATGGTCACGCGTAAGCAAATGCTAACAGAGTTTTTCGCGGTGCGGTTCTTTTTGCCGCGCGTTCCCGCTCGCCGCGATGGAATAATGACCACGCGCACCCGACGAAACCTCGCGGTTTTCCCCGTTATTCGCTCCACCTTACGACGGCGCAGCACGGCTATAAATAACCAACTGTTTACTCGCTTCTGCCCTCAAAGAGTTTTTAACGTTTCTTATTCCGCACGAAGGTCTAAAGACTCGGCGCCGACCGACGGTGGACGTGTATCGTGCCCCGCGGGAGAGGAAAATCCGCGGCTAAGAATCGCGAGCTGGAAGTTCGTCGAGAAGAGGGAGAGAGCGAGAGGAGGACGAAGACGATTCCGGGAACCGGACGCGAAAATAATATCCTCTTGTTCAGACTCGCGGAAAGCACGGGAACAAGCAAGAGCGCGATTAGTCATCGCGTATCCGAGCCCGTGCCTCGTTACTCCTTGGCTCGCGCGAGGACTTATCCTCGAAAACGTTCGCCGGAGCAATGGAACTCCCAACTTCCGGCTCGCAGCGATCGTCTCGATCTTTCAGATACATTCCGGCCGGGAAATTTACTGGCCGGCGCACGTGACGACGACGCTCGACGTTGCATAGGCGCTGATCGTTCTGTGTTTTCCACGGCGGTATACGATGGCTTCGTGTTTCAGAAGTTTTACATCTCGTTCTCGCCGGATAGATTGGTTCCCTTGTCGGTCGTGGGGAAACAATTACGAAGATCGGAACGACGATCCTTCTCTTATAATTAGTCTATTTCGTAATAAAGTGTTATGCCAATGTTTCAGTACGCGATGCTGGTGTGCAAAGGGAAACGAACGAAGCGAGCTGGACGAAAGGGAAAACGTGCAATGCGAATAATATTGCGAAGACCGAGGTCTGTTTGCAGGCCAAAAAAAAGAATAAAGATATCCGTAAAGTTCGTTGCAACGGTTGCAATCTAAATGTAAAACTACAGTAATGTCTCCCTTACTGACGCTCAGATTCTGCATCCTCAGACTCCCAAAAATTCGGAAAATGAATTCCACTAGTCTCAGTAACTGGTCCAAAATTTTGCTATCGACCTAAGTGGACCAGTTACTGAGACTAGTGGAATTGGTTTTCTGGATTTTTCCGATCTGTCCCGAAAATGAATTCCACTAGTCTCAGTAACCGGTCCCCCTAGGTCGATAGCAAAATTTTGGACCAGTTACTGAGACTAGTAGGATGGATTTCCTGATAGATTGGGGTGCCAGTGTAGATCGATTTTTTGTAAATGTTATACATACGCTACAAGATTACTGTGAACAGCATACGCTGTATATACAATAATGTCTCCCTAATTGACGCTTAGATTGTCCACTAAATTGGATAATTTGGGAAGAGGAGATACGATTATTCGAGCCTTGCAACTCCTTTTTATAGTTGTTAATAATCGATAACCATAAAAAACGAGCCACAAGGCTCGAACAATCGTATCTCCTTTTCCAAAATTGTCCATTTTTGTGGACAATCTGAGCGTCAATTAGAGAGACATTACTGTATCCTTAATAACCTAACGATCTGTCTCTTATACACATCTAGATGTGTATAAGAGACAGTTCTTATAGTTGTTAATAATCGATAACCATAAAAATCGAGCCACAAGTCTCGAACAATCGTATCTCCTTTTCCAAAATTGTCCATTTTTGTGGACAATCTGAGCGTCAATTAGAGAGACATTACTGTATCCTTAATAACCTAACGATCTGTCTCTTATACACATCTAGATGTGTATAAGAGACAGTTCTTATAGTTGTTAATAATCGATAACCATAAAAATCGAGCCACAAGTCTCGAACAATCGTATCTCCTTTTCCAAAATTGTCCATTTTTGTGGACAATCTGAGCGTCAATTAGAGAGACATTACTGTATCCTTAATAACCTAACGATCTGTCTCTTATACACATCTAGATGTGTATAAGAGACAGCGGTTACTGAGACTAGTGGCTGTCTCTTATACACATCTAGATGTGTATAAGAGACAGTTCTTATAGTTGTTAATAATCGATAACCATAAAAATCGAGCCACAAGTCTCGAACAATCGTATCTCCTTTTCCAAAATTGTCCATTTTTGTGGACAATCTGAGCGTCAATTAGAGAGACATTACTGTATCCTTAATAACCTAACGATCGCGAGAGAATTTATGATTCGCGACTGCTTCGGGTCTCTTGGAATCCAGCAGAGTCTCCGTGTGGAAATTAACTGGCGGAACAAGAGCAGGAATGACACAAAGAATAGGCTTCAATTTGCGTTCGCACGAGCCGCGTCATGCGCGGTGCAACTCGATATTAGGCGGAGCATTCGAGCCGCGGCGTTGTGACTCTCGGACGGATGTTTCGTCTGGAAATGGGTCAGCTTCGGATGACGAAGTTGCAGTTCTTCGTTGCAGGAGAAAATGACGAAGCGGAAGGATCGATCTGAACGATCTCCGAGCCGAAGGAGGAACAGGGTCGCGCTAGAAGGTCGGTTCTCGCGATCGCAGCTCGACTCCTCCGGGCCGGCTTCGGGCCGAATTTCGTCGATTAATCGTCTGGCACGAGCCAGAGACGCTAAATTGCTCGGATTCGATCAACGAGGCTGAATCGGCGACCGAACCAATTAAGTATTTCCATCGAATGTCCTCGAGCAAAATTAAACTGGCGCGACGGGATCGATATTTAAATCGGTACCGTGGCCGCGACCAATTAGACCGATCTCGTTCAAAATTTATTCGGACAATTCGGCCCGGTCTCCGCTATCCGAACGAGGCAACGCCGGCAGAGAAAAAAACAGAGAGAGAGAGACGAGGGAGCAACAACCACGCCGCCGTGAACCGGAGCCGCTGTCAACAGCTTCGTATCAGACCGTCGACGTCGGGGCCCGCTCGAACCGATCGATATCGATATCGTCGTTCGATGTCCGTGGACTACGGATGCACGTGGTTGCGCACGCGTCCCACGTGCACCGGCGCCTCCGGTGACTTATCGCGACGAAACTCGGACGTGTTGGATAACGTCGGATCGACGGGAGCAGGCCCGAAGTGCCGCCGCGGCTCGATCCTCGGTCTCATTAAAACACCATTACCAAAGGCAATTTCCGCGTGCGGCATTTCTTCGGCCTTACACGGCGTTATCCCGTCGAAACGATCTCGCTCCGCGCAACCGCAGTCTCATTCTTTCGCCGGTTCGCCGTTGGACGATTCGAATGATCCGTTGCGTCGGTAGAGGGGTGCGCGACGCATAAATCTCAATAAAACGCAGGATAACGATTGCTTACTCACGTGGTACCCGGGCTCGCCGAGCAAGAAACTAATGATTCACGCCGGACCCGCGGCGAGGCACCTCCTCTTCACTGTACGCGGATGTTAACAGCGATTTCCAACGGTCCCGTCGGTGTATCATTAAGGTGTACACCTGTTCGCGATTACACCGCGGCTCTGGAATGCGTTCTAGCCGCGACTCGTCGATTTTCACGCGGCTATAATCGATTCCGTTCGAGCGGCTCGCGTTACCAACACCGAGAACCAGAAAAAGAGAGAGAGAAAGAGAGAAAGAGAGAGAGTGTGCGTGTGAGTGAGGGAGGGGCGGAGGGGAGAGAGAGAGAGAGAGAGAGAGAGAGAGAGAGAGAGAGAGAAAGAAAGAGGAAGACCGATCGGCGCGAAACAATCCGCAGATCGGTGCACACCGTGCGGAACACACGTCGGACGACACACACTGATCCACACACACTGAAACTGGACGCGGTGCGGCGCGGTGCGGCGCGGCGCGGCGCGGCGGCGATTATGCGGGGACGAGGCGCGAGTAAACAAACTGTATCGTGGCGCCGATCGCGCGCATTTTCCGCGAACGCGCGACGCTAACTGAGGAGGGACCGCACGAAAACCGGCTATATACACTGCGGTGGTCTTCCTCCGTGCATCGACTGCGTGCTCGGGTTATTGGCACTCGAACGGCGTCCATAAGACACCTCGGTCTCTCCCATTGACCTGGCACCGGCCACCGAACGGTCCCGCGATCCTTTCGGCGATCCGACGGAGCCAGTCACACGTGCGCACCGTGTGTCACCACAGTTCTCCAAACGGCGAGCGACCTTCGGATCCTTTCGTGCGCCACCACGGGCCACGGTCCCTAGATCGAGGTCGAGAGGCGCGCGGATAGGAGGAACGTTTTCGCGGCGCGGAACCGCCGGTAGCGGCGTCGAGGCTCGACGAGGAACAGACGGACCGACGACGGAACGGAAACGAAGCACACACGGAATGCCAGGCCGGAGAACGTATGTAGGAACGGACGAACGAACGAGCAGGCGAGAGCCTGGCTGCCTCATTCGGTGAACAGCCCGCGGCCCCCACGTTGTTTGTCTCGCGAGTGGCCTGTTTACATGTTGACTCTCTGTTTACGCGATTCGTGTCCCCCCTCCGGGCCCCTCCGGCCCCCCCGGCCGCCTGGTCGCCTCTGATCCGCCACCCACCACCCGCCGACACCGCCGCGCCGTCTTCCCGCCACTGTCACACCCCCGCCAGGCCCCGCACCGTCCACAGGCCGATCGCTCCTTTTCCACCGTTTGGCCGGAGAGGCTCGACGACCAGAGCGCTCGTTCGCTCGCTTGCTTGCTCGCTCGCTCGCTCGCTCGCTCGGTCGAATAAAGCCGCGTTTACACTGACCGGCTGCCGCTCTCCTCGGCTCGGCTCCTCGACTCTCGGCTCGACTCCTCGACTCTCGGCTCGGCTCCTCGGCGTGACCGAGCGCGCGCCGCTCAGCGCTCAGCGACTCCGCTTCGATTCGACTTTGATCGCGTCACCGGCGAACCGCTGTCCAGCCAACTTCGCCCGTGGTAGGGATGATTGAGGCCTGACCGAGGGGGGACTGTCAGCCAGACGTTTTGGGACCGTTCTTCTCGCTTCGGGACTCTATCGTAGGTCCCAGTTCGCGTCTACTGGTCTTTGTAGGTGTTTCCCGGGTGGTCCGATTTTGTTTGGCCTGCAAGAGTCAGTTTGTACATGGTTGGAGCCCGTTTTGGGACCGGCGAGGACGTTTTGGGACACTTTGCTACACTTTGTATCGATCCGCTGGGCCGTCTGATTTTGTACGATGACTGTACCTCGAGGATTCAATTTGCATCTGGTTGTTTCGTTCTGTCCGGTGAACGTTTCGAGTTTGCGCCGGGTTGGGCCTTATGCGCAGATGTTAACGCCGTATTGGGCCCGTTATCGGGACGATCGAGAGCTGGACTAGGTTGCTTTTGAGTTCTACGCGAACTCGTTGGTCGACTGACTTCGTTTGGCTCGAGTGTTCGTAAAACAGTCAGTTTGTTCTAATCTTGGGACTGTTTTCTGGATGCTGAAAACCATAACGGGGGTTCTATCGAATTTTACTTAGCATTACCTGTTATTCGAACGTGATCCATACTTGCACAAGGTAGTAGGACTTGCGCGATTATAGGTCCGATTGAAATCACGAGAAATTTAATTAGCGATTTTGGGACTGTTCGCTGTCTGCCGAAGCGGCCCTTTAGATGTCCGTAGCATACAACGTAATCCCTTTCTTCCACGTACTTCCGTAAGAAAATTCGGTGTAATCGTAAATTTTGACAGTCCGTGGAAGATCCGATTCCGCAAGGCCCGGATAGTTCGAGGAAGCTTAGATCGTCCTCGGAGTCGGAGAGGACCGACGACAGCCAGCTCTATTTTCCCCGAGGAATCCGGGAGGAATCCTCGGGTGTCAGGCGAAGATCCGTTTTCAAGATGGCTTTCTTCTCAAGAGATCGCGACTTATACGACCCCATTCCCAAGTTATAGATCCATAGCAGTTTATCTCTAGAGCAAAGGATCGCACTGACCACCTCGATTCCATCGCATGGGTCGACGACTGATTATCGATCCCCTTATTAGCTCTAGATCTCAGGATATTACCGGTCGCTCGTAAACAGTTCGTCGAACGTCAAGAGCGAGTTGAAACAGGGCCACGATTCGCTTTTCCTCTATTACTCTCGAGCGTCCGATCCATCATCGATGGCCGGCGTGTGTCTTTCCTCGAAGGAGACCCACTCTACCACGGGGCCTCTAATGATCGGCTGTTATGGCAGCGTCGCGTGCGACCGATTCGCGAATGGAAAAGTCGAGCAGGTCGCGACGAGTGTCGGAGACGCGTCTGTATATCATTATCAATTTAATGACGCAAGCCTATACGTTATTCATTCGTCGGTACACATAATACGTGGCGCACCGCGGGGTATTAATAGATCCCCGGGAATGTAAGAGAAGTGTCCCCCGCGACCAACTTTTACGGATATCGTCGGATAATTGAAATTACGCGGCGCGACCTAATTAATCCGGCGATCCGCGGTTTAATTGGATCTTCTTTCGAATATCGCCGCGCGTCCCGTCGCGTCGGGTCGCGTCGGGTCGCGTCGCGACGCCGGCCGTCGCCGGCACAGGTGACGGTCCTTCCTTTCTTGGTTCCCCTAAAAATGTAATTGCTCTCGCATCGAACACTCGGCGACCGCGCTCCAACGACGGCTAAAAAATTCATCGGAACCCTCGCGACAATTTACACTGTCGAATTATTTTATCGATCCCGGGCACCGGCTCTCTCTCTCTCTCTTTCTCTCTCGAAAAAAAAGAACACGACCAACCGCGAGACTCAGGCTATATCGCGCTGTTCATATTTTACTCATAAAATCGGGAATTTCTGTATGGAATTTTTATTCGATTCCTGAACAGAGGCTCGATTAAATTTGTACTCCGATCACACAGTGCCCGGCGACCGGGCTGCGAGTGTTTACGCAAATATAGATTTTCATAGACCAATTTACAGAACCCGGAGCCAAACAGACACTCTTTCTCCCTGTTGAAAGATCCGTCGGTCAAACAGCAGCCTCGTCAAACTTCATTGCTATTTTCGAAACTGCCATTTTCTACGCGGAAACATCGAAAATCTGGTGCACCTGCACCTGGAAGTCCTAGTCATCACCAAAATACTTGCCGTTTTCGGATCGACCACCATTCCGGATCTACTGAACAGGAATGTTATTCGTCTCTTCGAAGTTGAAATAAAATTGTATGATTTTGTTGCCAATATTCGAGCATCGAAGCGAGCGTAAATATACAATAAATATGATTTTTGATCGGTTTTAAAAGCTACAGAGAGGAACGCAGGAGCCGTTAAAGTTGGCTAATTGAAACAGCACCGGACATTAGCTAACATCATGAATAATTTTTAATGAAAAATGTAAATCTGCAGCGATCCTCCTATTCTCCGCGCTTTCCCGTCTTTCAAACTCGTTTTTCCAATTTGAATCGCATAAGATTTTCAAGGTTGATGTGCAGCGATCGTGTACCGGAGTGGAAATAAAATGAGCTGCGATCGGCAAATAAAATCCATTTGGGCCGCGTTAGTGTGCGATTACGGTAGTTTGGGCAGCTGAATGAATCGCGGCGAAGGTCGCGTTGGAAATGGAGCCTTAACCGCCGCCCACTCGTGCTCGTGTCGCAGGCTGACACGGCATGCGCGGTCTACGGGCCCGACAGCACCGCAAACAACCTCCTCTCTATTCTTTCCTCGCATCAGCGGGCCGTTGCAACTGCAATCTCATTCTCATCAATGAGTATCGACGTTCCCGCGGCGTGTCGCGACGCGGCGCGGCGCGTCGCGCGTCGCGGCCGCTCGATTTCTTCGACGCGTTTTACGATCACCGATAACGCCGTTCCCCGCTTATCGCCGGCTATTACGCGCACCGGCACCGATCCGCGTCCTAATTTAATTCCACGAGCGTCGAAAAACGTACCCGAGCGACGATAAAACCGGATAATCCGTCGCTGCGAAGCAGGAAGGCCGGAGGAGCCGTCTTCGTTGCGAGCATAACAATAAACAATAAGAATGCGCTCGGATCCGATTCCAATGCGTTCTTCGAACGACGCTGCTTTTACGAGCGAAGAACGCGAAACGCGACGTGTTTGTTGGAGTCGATAAGACGGTTATTATTCGCCGCGCGAGCAGCCGTTTCTTGTCCACCGATCGTGTTTTTATCGTGAGGCAAAGTAAATAGAAACGGGTTGTACTAGATACAAGATTCGAATATTCATCGACACAGAATACCTGTCAAAATGACGGATTGCCGGCCGTATATAATTATAGTGATCCCGGTCGCATCGCCGGGGAATTATTCGACGCGTTTCGCTCGCGCGGAACGCGATGGAACTCGCGTGCGAGCCCAGGAAACGCGTCGTTACGATTTTTATAAGAAGCTGCGGGCTCGGTCGGCCAGGCGATGACAGATCGTCTCTTATGCGCGCGATGCTCGACGAAATGCCCGCGATTAAGGAATCACGATCGGACCGCTCGGATGTTCGTCGTCGGCGATGAAAAATCGAGACGTTGACGAGAAACGTGTATCGAGCATCAACAGCTTCGATTCGTCTTGTCTCATAATAGTTGCAACAGTTGCGTTTCAGTGTTCTTAAGTCGAGTATTTTTCGCGAAAGCATGCTCGTGATCTCGATAATCCCGAAATAGAAAATTGGGACGGGTCGTTGGACCGGCGACGGTACGTTTAGTGTTAATCAAGTGAAATTCGATCCTTAGAATTTTCTGTCGTCGGTGAATTATGGAACGGTTCGGTTCGCTCGGGTCTTCTCGGTCCGGCGTGGAATATTCGCGACAGGAACAGTAATATAATTTACACGGCGCTAGAAACGAATCGAAGTTTACTGTTCAACATCATCCCCGAGCCGCGGACCCGTTAGGGCTAGGAAATATGGGTTAATGCATGGAAAATAGTAAACGTCATTTCTTGTCGAGTGAATGGTCAACGCGTAATTCTCCGAGTGGAAACGTCATCCTCAGCAATATGGCTATTCAAACATGTGGCCCACGATGAGACTACGCAGACTCGGGCTGTTCGCGTTGTTCTCCCCCACCAGTCCCACAATTTCTCTCTCTCTCTCTCTCTCTCTCTTTCTCTCTCTTTCTCTCTTTTTCTCCCTATCACTCTCTCGCTCTCTCTTTCTCACTCCCTTCCTCTGGCCGGCTCGCTCTCCCACCACGCAGTCTTTCTCTTTCTGCAGTTCGATTAACAGTATGCATCATACATAGCAAGAAACTGCACAACGATCTTATCCGCCCAGTTTATTTATTTATTCTCGTGTCGGTGCATGTTTTGCTTCGCGGAACGATTGCGACACGTGTTTAAAAACCATCGAGCACGATGACGAGGACGTAGAAAGGATGACAAGCCGCGATTCGAATCTACGGGACCGCGTCTTTTTCTTATTCCCCGGCGTACCCGGTCAACGAATTGATAATGCTATGTACGATCTTCGAGATTGCCTGCGGGAACCGTGAAGTGGACGTTTTACATTGTGAGCAATACAGTCCACTCAGCAAGC